GATTGAAAATATGAACAGTGGGTAAAGTGCTGCAAACCATGTAAACAGGAAAGTCAAACAAAAGGGGAATCATTGCAAAGTGTATCATGATTTGTCTTTTTTTGGGCGCCTCAATATATATAGTCCGAACCATTTTCAAAAAATTGCACAATGTCCGCTTCATGATTATAGTGCCCAAAACCCTGAAGTCATTTGTCCCTCCAAGGGCACCTAAGCCAGGAACTGGTCAATGTAACCGGGGATAGAGGCGAGATCCTCCGGGGAGAACTCCTCATACACCTCCTGCAGGTGTTTTTCCAGTCTCATCAGCAGGTTCCTGGGCAGGGAGAGCTTGTTAGGCCCCCCGTGGTAGGACACGTTTCCCTGCCACAACGCCAGCAGGTACTCCGGGATCATGGCCTTGCACAGCAGTGCAGCAAATGGCCCCGGTTTCTGCAGGCTGTCCCGGAGCATCTTCTCCTTCTGGCTCTCGGAGACCTTCAGGAGGGTGATGTCTGGCATGGCTCCCTGCTGTGAATTAGGTAGGGGAAAGTTAGTATTGGGACTGCTTGCCCGTCCCTTTACAGAACTGCAACCGCCGGTTTACAGCCACGCGGTTTACAGCCGCGAGGGGGTGGGACAGGGGCAGAGTTCATGCTTGCAGGATTGCTGCCAGCAGAGACTCGCATTGCTTTCTATGTGACAGGAGGCCAGTGCCACTCTTAAAGTTTTAAGCAGCCACAAGTCTACGGCTTACCATGTTTGCCATCTAGACAAAGTCCGGTGTCCTGCCCTGCTCCTCAGCTCGCCACAGCAAGACCGCAGGCACTGTAGGCGAGGGCCGAAAATTCGACATTGTCCTCAGTGCGCGTGTGATAGGTGCTCTGCATGGTCTTGTTCACAGAGAAAGACTATGTTCTCTGTTCACAGATACATTGATCTGTCTCAGGAATTCACTCCCTTTTTCCAATTCCCACAGCCACATCTGCCCAGAGGCTAGCGCACATTAGGAGGAGGAAGAAGAGGACACGGGAAGACATGTTTGCTGAACTAATGGGCTGCTCCCGAGCACAGGCAGCCCAGCAGACACAGTGGAGGGAGAACTTGTCCCAAATGCACCGGGCAAACATTGAACGGGAGGAGAGGTGGCGACAGGAGGACAGGCAGGCTACTCAAACGCTGCTTGGACTAATGAGGGAGCAAACGGACACGCTCCGCCGCCTTGTGGATGTTCTGCAGGACCGGAGGCAGGAGGAGAGAGCCCCGCTGCAGTCTCTCTGTAACTGCCCTGCCCCGCCACCAAGTCCCATACCCCCCTCACCCAAAGTCCAAACACGGAGGGGTGGAAGGGGCCGTGAAAAATTTCACTCCACCCCTGCGGACTGCTCTACCACTAGAAGGCTCTCATTCCCCAAAATTTGAAAAGTCCTTTCCTACCCGCCTCACACAAGACCCCGTCCAAGTTTCACCCCCCCGTTCCATGTGCGGTTGTTAATAAAGAATACGTTTCTGTTCATTTCTGTTTCCATCCTCTTCTTTTGGAGGGGAGTCTGTCTGAAGGGGGGGGAAGGGGCTTGGTCATTGGACAGGACAGTCACCTTTAGCGGGGGGCAGGTGCAGCAGCAGGGCACATATACAGTGCAGTGACTAGTTATCCTGGTCAGTCTGGGAGGTGGTTTTCATGTTTTGTGTGGTGGGGGCGGTGGTGTTGCTCTGTGACTTGGTGGCGGGGGAGGGCAGTTACAGATCTTATGCAGCGGTCCTTACCCTGCATCACAGAGCCGCGCAGCAGGGGATCTGTAACCCTCCTCCCCCTGCAAGACAGTCACATAGCCGACACATACACGCAGTCCCGGCCAGGAGGGCTGGCAGGCTCCGTTGAAACAACCAGTCCACCACCGCGGAGCCTGTCATTCCTGGAGTTTAGAGGCATCATTTGCATCACAACCCTAAACCCGCCCCCCGCCACAGTCTGCGTCCCAGGTTTAAAACATTCCCGCGAAAACAGTAATAAAGACAACGGTGTCCATTAACAAAAGAGAACAGACTTTATTTTTTGGGAAGGGGGTGAAGGGGGTATGTAGGTGGAGAGGATAGTCGACGGCAAATGGGTAAAGAAAGGGGGGCAAGTTCTGCCTCTGTGTCCACAAACTTAAAAGTCACTGGGTACCCTGCTCAGCCTTGAAACTGGCTTTCAAAGCCTCCCGGATGCACAGCGCGTCCCGCTGGGCTCTTCTAATCGCCCGGCTGTCTGGCTGGGCGTAATCAGCAGCCAGGCTATTTGCCTCAACCTCCCACCCCGCCATAAAGGTCTCCCCCTTGCTCTCACAGAGATTGTGGAGCACACAGCAAGCTGCAATAACGATGGGGATATTGGTTTCGCTGAGATCACAGCGAGTGAGTAAGCTTCTCCATCTCCCCTTGAGACGGCCAAAAGCACACTCCACCACCATTCTGCACTTGCTCAGCCGGTAGTTGAACAGTTCTTTTTCTGTGTCCAGGGCGCCAGTATAGGGCTTCATGAGCCAGGGCATTAGCGGGTAGGCTGGGTCCCCGAGGATCACTGTAGGCATCTCCACATCCCCCACAGTTATCTTGTGGTCCGGGAAGTAAATACCTTCCTGCAGCCGTCTAAACAGACCAGAGTTCCTGAACACGCGAGCGTCATGAACCTTGCCCGGCCATCCGACGTTGATGTTTGTAAACCGTCCCCGATGGTCCACCAGTGCTTGCAGCACCATTGAAAAGTAGCCCTTTCTATTGATGTACTGGCTGGCCTGGTGGCCCGGTCCCAGGATAGGGATGTGAGTCCCATCTATAGCCCCACCGCAGTTTGGGAATCCCATCGCAGCGAAGCCATCTATGATGGCCTGCGCGTTTCCCAGGGTCACTACCTTTGACAGCAGTACCTTGACGATTGCCTTGGCTACTTGCATGACAACAACCCCCACGGTAGATTTGCCCACGCCAAAGTGGTTCGCGACTGACCGGTAGCTGTCCGGCGTTGCAAGCTTCCAGAGGGCTATGGCCACTCGCTTCTGGACAGTCAGGGCTGCTCGCATGCGGGTGTCCTTGCGCTTCAGGGCAGGGGACAGCAAGTCACAAAGTTCCAGGAAAGTCCCCTTCCGCATGCGAAAGTTTCGCAGCCACTGGGATTCATCCCAGACCTGAAGCACTATGCGGTCCCACCAGTCCGTGCTTGTTTCCCGGGCCCAGAATCGCCGTTCAACAAAATCCACATGCCCCATTGCCACCGTGATGTCCTGGGCGCTGGGGCTCGTGGTTTCTGACAGCTCTGTGCTACTCTCCGACTTCAGGCCCTCACGGCGGTGCCGTAGCCTCCTCGCCTGATTTCTCTGCATCTGCCTCTGGGAAAGGTGTATGATAAGGTGCGAGGTGTTGAGAACGGCCACAACTGCAGCGATGGTCGCAGCGGGATCCATGATCGCAGTGCTGTGGCGTCCGCGCTGTCACTGATCAAAAAGTGCGCGAACTGATTTCCCGCCGGCGCTTTCAGGGAGGGAGGCAGGGCGGTAGTGACTGACGGATGACGACAGTTACCCAAAAGCACCCTCGCCACATTTTTTTCCCCAGAAGGCATTGGGGGCTCGACCCAGAATTCCAATGGGCAGCGGGGACTGCGGGAACTGTGGGATAGCTGCCCACAGTGCACTGCTTCCAATGTCGACGCTTTCCCTGGTAGTGTGGACTGACAAAGTCGAATTACTGTCCTTAGTGTAGACACACACGTTCGACTTTCTAATATCGATTGCACATATTCGATTTAACTTAAATCGAACTACTCTCGTAGTGTAGACATACCCTCAGATTAGCAGCTCAGGATCAACTCCAGGTTGCCCTATAGGCTTAAACTTGAACTGGTATACTGGTAAACTTGAATACTGCGTACAGATGTGGTCTCATCTCAGAAAAGATATACTGGCATTAGAAAAGGTTCAGAGACGGGCAACTAAAATGATAGTGGTTTGGAACAGGTCCCATATGAGGAGAGATTAAAGAGGCTAGGACTTTTCAGCTTGGAAAAGAGGAGACTAAGGGGGGATATGATAGAGATATGTAAAATCATGAGTGGTGTGGAGAAAGTGAATAAAGAAAAGTTATTTACTTGTTCCCATAATATAAGAACTAGGGGCCACCAAATGAAATTAATGGGCAGCAGGTTTAAAACAAATAAAAGGAAGTTCTTCTTCACACAGCACACAGTCAACCTGTGGAACTCCTTGCCTGAGGAGGTTGTGAAGGCTAGGACTATAACAGGGTTTAAAAGAGAACTAGATAAATTCATGGAGGTTAAGTCCATTAAGTGCTATTAGCCAGGATGGGTAAGGAAAGGTGTCCCTAGCCCCTGTTTGTCAGAGGGTGGAGATGGATGGCAGGAGAGAGATCACTCGATCGTTGCCTGTTAGGTTCACTCCCTCTGGGGCACCTGGCATTGGTCACTGTCGGTAGACAGGATATTGGGCTGGATGGACCTTTGGTCTGACCCAGTATGGCCATTTTTATGGTAATCTGCTTTGCTGTGTCTTCACTGCTATTTGCTATCCCAAATTAAGAACACCCCCCCTTTTGCAGTATACCCCTCCTCTTAGTCACTTTCTTCTGCATAGCTACCCACTATGGTGCATGATGTGTCTGAGGAGAATCCAAGGGGGTATCTGTTCAGTGGCTGGAGCCCGGGTTAGCCAGGTTCCCTTCCTTCCCACTAAGGATTAAAGCCATAACTATAGTGTGATGGCCAACACCCCAGGAACTGAAAGGGGATCTCCAAAGCTAGAAGCATCAGTCTTTACATCTTGAGTTAAAGAGCCAAGCTATCTAGCTAGGGGATGTAACAAGAGAAGAACACAACAAATGCTGCAGTGGGTTACAATTGTGCTGTCTACCCCAAGCAGAGAATTTGGGGAGGGAAAGTTGTGTTTCTCTAAGAAGGGTAAATCTGATCGTCTTCCATTTTCTCTCTTCCGTTCTTCATTCTAAAGGCTGTTTCTCTCTCCCCAAAGGATGCTTCTGTGGTTTGGGGCTGATTTATACCAATAAATCGTGCACAATGCCTCCCATCACCTTCCAGGATCTACCGCTGAATATCTACATGGTCATTTTCGGCACCGGCATCTTTGTCTTTGTGCTCAGCCTCATCTTCTGCTGCTACTTCATCAGGTGAGCTAGGGACCCAATGGGCTCTGCATGCACCTGCCATGGAGGATACAGGGGAGCCTGTCTATCAGCTGACCTCAGGGCTCCAGCCTGGGAAAGTTTCACCCCCAGCTGCTTTTTGGGTGGTCTAAGGACACTAGTGTCCAGGGGGCCAATTGGAATTTTTTTAGGTGAAAGCTGAGAGTCTCATAGAATCATATGACTCCAGGAGCTGGGTCTTGAAGAAAATCCTGAGACTTGTGATAAAATCCATGATAGTTGGCAACCCTGACTCAGACTAACGTACCCTTGTTTTAAGAACTCCCATGAAGAATCCTAGCAACCTCAGACTCTCACTGATCACTGAGCCTAGTGGGATCCCACTGGGGTGAATCCCAAATAAACCCACTGAACAGCCCCAGTGTACAGTGTCACTTTTATATACGTATAATACAAAGATCTATATGTTCCTTTCTCTTTCTGCTTGGCTACAACAAATGCCTGAAATGTTGCCTTAGCAAATTTTTCCTCCAGCACACACACACACAGGAGTTTGTTATCGTAGGATTGCTTATGAGTCCTGCATTGAGCATTCTGATTTGTTATCGTAGGGTTGCTTATGTGGGCTGGGCTGTTGCAACTGTTTTTTTTTTTTTCTTTAAAGAGCCCTCAAACGTATGGTTTGAATAAGACAAGTGAAGAGCTTCATGGGCTTTGCAGACCTTTGTGAGAGGGGAAGTACACCATTGGTTCTGCTGACCTCCAGGTCCCTTTAAGGAAGCAGAATGAACAAGCTTCCCATTGCAAATTATAACTGGAGGCTGTCATATACCTCATTCATACTGCAATCATACAGTCCTTCTACCACAGTGCTTTTTAGAAGTGACACCTTAAAAAAATAACCATCCCTCCCTTCCCCCCCATACGCCCTGTAATCTGCTGGGAATCATTTGTCAAGAGCAGTCTCTCCCCATCAAGGAGCAAACAAGCAACAGCTAGCCAGGCGCAGAGCTGATTTGTGTTTGGGGTTACAGAGCCGAGGAAGAGATCTGCTGCAAACCTGACCCGTGTTGACACGCACCAGGAGAATTCTGCAGATGGCATCATCAGAGGATCTGGGACTATTTTTAGAAGCTTTGACTAGCCTCCCAGAAGCTGCCTGTCGCCTCCATTCCTAGTCTGAGATCTATTATTTTTATTAAACCTATTAGAATAATTTCATCTCTTCTGTGTCGCTAGAGCCCATCCATCTGCCTTGAGCTTCACAGCTGGTCATGGTCACCAATCCATGAGCATTAACCCCATGTTTACCCAGGCTGGGCACTGCTGGGAAAGCTCTCCACTGGGGAGGGATAGAGTTTGGGATGAGGACAGCGTGAAAATTGGATTGAGGGGTTTTTTGCCCCAGCAAATCGAGTATCAAAAGCAGCTTCTGAACAGCAATTTCCCTTCCGCATTTGGAGGCTTCTGCTGTCACCTGACACCTGGTCCCTCCACGTGTCACCTTTTGGAACAGCAGCTGTTAATTGGCCCAGTACAGTACACTCTGTATGTACCACACATAGGGCTAGAAATTAGCAGCTTCTCCTGCTTCAGATAAAGCCCCCCGGAGTAATACGCTGGGGAGACAGCAGAAGGGAAGGGGTGTTTTCCAGTGTTAGTGACTACCAGGCAAACTCACGCACAGAACAGCATGGACAAAGCCTGGGTTCGTGGTCTCAGTCCAGGCCTGGGAATCAAGACATCTGGGTTCTTTTCTGGACTTTGCCACTGTTAGACCTTGGGTAAGTCATTTAGGCCATTTCCCCCTCCCCCCCCCGCCTCCAAAAGCAGCCTCTCATTTTAGGTGCCTCCATTTTTGACAGCCCACTTTGAGATCTAAGCCGCATCAGCGCTGGCAAAAATGGGACAAGGAACTCGCCCCCTTCTTCGCCCGCTGTCGTACCTCCACCCAGGGTAGCAACAGCAGAAGCTGGAATGTAGAAGGGCTTGGGCATTTTCAGCACCATGTTGTCTAGCCTTGCTCTGAGCAAACTGCTTGTCGCTGCCTCTGCTGTTTATTTCCGTAGCCTGCTGGGAACCATTTGCCAAGAGCACTCGCCCCATTTCCCCAAGGAGCAAACAATCGACTCCCCGCAAGGGCTCTGAGCCAAGCCAGGATTCTGGTCTCCGCAGGGCTCCGTCTAAGTAAGGGACTGGGACTGAGCGGAGCAGGAAGTGGCAGGAAGGCGGGGGGGGGGACGTATTATTGAGGTGACCGAGCTAGACTGATGCATTGTTTATAGGGGAAGGGGGGAGGATGGCTTTTCATTACCCTTCCCTGTTGAAGAAGGCTATTTTTAAACTCTTGAGTTTAGCAGCAACTGGGATGTCTAGAAAAGTTCCAGGGGATTGGGAAAAATTGAATTCATTACCCCACTGCTGGGCCCCACCCAGCCCTGCTAATGCACTTCACTTCTGCCCGGCAGCAGCCCCTGCTGTTACAGTCCTGAGACCTTGTCCAGCTTTGCACCTTTCTCCTGATCTGCAGCCCTTCCATCCTGCTGTTGCCATCTTGGGCTCCCCGCTCAGCTTTCCCGGCTCTGCTAGTGCCCCTCAGTCGTGCAATTGTAACTTGCTGCGTGGGATGGATCTAAGAGTCTGTCCTTTGCAAGGGAACTATATCAAACTTTCAGGAAACCCAAAAAGATAAGAGAGGAGGAGTCAGTACCCTCCCAGTACCCTGTGACCTAACTCTGCAGCCTTTGGCAGTGCAATATCTGCCTTTGTGCCATGCCCCATAGCTTCTGGATTCTGCAGTGGGATCTTGCTGGGGGCAGGGAGCACAGCAGCTGCCTCTCACAGGCTCAGATCTGATGCCTCACCCTGCCAGAGAGACCGCTGTGGATACAGTACCCTGGCCCGGTGCTAGCTCATGCCAAGCAGCTGTTCACTGCCCTGCTCTGGAAACAACTTCTCCCCCACCCTCCGCTGCTCCCTTGCTCCAGTGATTTAGTTAATATTATTAATTAAAAAAAATAAGCTGTTGGGTCTGGAGGAGGCACTGAGTGACCTGGGCTTTTTACAGCTTGGAATAATGAGCCTGGTTGTCTCTCTGGCTTGCGTGCGTGGGGGCACTGGGGAGGCAGGCTGCCCAGGAAATTGTTCTGGTTGATAGTAAGCCATTCCTGCAGCTGTTATGCCACTCCTGCTTACAGCACATAAAGGATGCTCTGTGTGTGTGAGGGGCCCTTCTCAGGCCTCTGCTGTCTAACATTCACTCGGAGGCTGGGAGTGAACTGAGATTCTGAGAGAGAGAGAGATGAATAGAGTGAGAGGCACCACAGAGATAAATATATAGCCTCAGGCCAGCCCCAGCCCCCGGCTTGCCAGTCATACACACAGGAGATGGCTCAGTAAGAACCCCCCAGCATTTTGCTTTTCCACATCCATGTGTAACACGTTGGCAAAGTATGTGCTGTGTTCCATCCCTCCACCCATGTCTGGGCCACTAGAGGATAACAGCCTACAACTGCTACCCACTAAATTACTCCTTTAGCCTGTGCTGGATGGCATTGGGTCCAAGCCCTGCTGTCGACTACGGGGAGGAGTGGCTGTTGCACATGTAGGGACGAGGGGGTTTATTTTCATTTTGTCAGCAGTGATTATTCAGCACATGGAGGCCAGGACAAGCCACATAGTCCTGGCTTCTGTTTCCAGTTAGAGCAGTGGATGGGTGATCCTGTGACTGTCTTCCTGAACAGCTTGAGGAAAGTAGCTACGCTGACTTCCTGGGTTCAAAGGAGGACTGCAGATGTGGGCAATGCATTATGGCCGGAGAGCAATGAGAAGGCTCTGGGTGGCCAACTGTTAGGTAACTCAGCCCAGCTGTAATACAAACAGGTGCGAAACAGGATCTTGTTGAGGACCAGGTGCTGCATCCTGTCCCATCCCCTGGGGAATAAAATCCCTCTGCATAAATCAAAGCAAGAGAGGAACGCATGGGAAAATAAAACAAGTTTCTGTGTAAACTGGGAGGAGCTCTTTGTCCTTATGGGGCTGGGGCATGTGTCTTATCTGGCCCTACCACACATTCTCACCCACTCATCCTCCCTCCCTTCTCTCAGGGTGTCTATAAACCAGGCTCCTCCCCATCCGTGGCTGGGCACAGCAGGCAAACAGCTTGCAAGATGCTGGCAGTGCTCGGGGAAGAGAAGCACAGATTATAGACACAGCTCAGTTGCTGGGGTAACAGACTTCCCAGGCTCCTGTGATGCTCAGCATAGATAGCGGAAGGGTATCCCTCAGCCAAGAGGGTTTTCCATGAGTACTTCATAGCGGTGGGACCAGGGGGTGATGTTTTCTGAGCCTGGGGTGCAGGAGAAACGAACAAAGCCATCTGTTGCCTGCATGGCTCAGGGATCTCTTTTGTCACCACCCTGTGTAACATCCCACTGGAGTTTTGGGAAAGTGCTGCCTCCCCCTCCCCTGCTCCCTCATCAGACTGAGATTGGGGCCAGGCCGAGCTGCTGTTGATGGGTCAGCGGAACTCTGGAAATACGGTGCTTCCTGGAACACTCACTACTTCCTAAGTGAAACAATTGGGGCCGCAGGCTGCATGATCTTATCGGGCCCCGTCCTCTGATTCCTGCTGGTATTTCGGGAGACGCTGTGCTCTGTTTAGCAATGAACTTGCAGCCTTTGGACAACAGCAAACTAGTGTCCTGAATAAATACCCTCCCTGCAGCAGTGTGTGCCAGCTGCTTTCACTTGCAGAGGAGTGAAGGGAGGGACGTTGTCTGTTTCATTTGGATCATGGACAGGCCTAGCATAATGGTCCAAGCACAAATCTGGGAGCTGGGTATGCATGAGTTCTAGTCCCATCTCAGAAATGGCTTCCTGTCTGTGGCCTTAGACAAGACACTAAGACCAAAATTCTCCAAAGCAACCACTGTCTTCAGCTGCCTGTTACCGGGTGCCCAACTTGAGACACTTTGGGTTCTAACAGCTCTAGCTGAAGTCAATGGGAGATGCAGGTACTCAGCATGTCTGAAAGGCACACGACATCTCAAACTGGGGTCCCCAACATGGGAACTCCACAAATCAGAGGAAGCTTTTGAAAATCTGTGTCCAGCTTTATCAAAAGAGCTGGGTTCCCATTATGAGTGCTCAACACTCTATGACAACCATATGTCTCTCTGTTCCTACCTGATGCTGCTTCCCTGAAAGGGGTTATTAAGCATCAGGGTGAATGTCTGAAACACGTCAGAAATGCTACTTAATTGTTGAATATGAATGCTGAAAATCTCATCTGATTTTTTTGAACTGATTTAAAAAAATGTAGGAATTCTTTTTAAAATATAGTGTCGGTGAAAAGTTCTGGACTGACTACCCTAGAGTCCCTTATGAAAAGGCCCATTCACTCTGATTGCAATGTATTTTGCACTATGAATAAATCTCTGTGGGTTGGTGTCACTTAATAATAAGCTTTGTCCTATAGTTTTCATATAATTGTCCTTTATTTCCTTGGTCGCCCTTCAGGAGGAGCTGGAAGAAGGGAGCTCATTTTCCTTGGCTTCTCTGCTGAAACCAGAAGCAAGGGGGCCATTTAGTGAGAAACAGGCAGTGTTTCTTTTTGATACAGGCACCTCTCAGACTATAAACTGGACAAAGATCACCTCTTAGAGGATCCCAAAGAGCTTTCAGGAGGTGATGACTTTCAGTTGCTGATGGTCATGATTGACTCTAATCCTATCCAATTATAGACCCGCAAGCCAAGTTCTCCTCATGCCTCCTGTGCAGTTAGGTCAGATTTGCATCAACAGTATACCTCAGCAGAGAAAGCAGACTTGTCTCCGACCTTCTCATTGTGCTGCTCAGGCTTTGATGACCTTTCCTGGTCCTCTCCAACTGAAAATTCCCATATCCCACAGGATCACTGGAATCAAATGAAGGGCAGAGTAAAGGTGGTTTGAGTGTGACCTTGGGCCCAGATCCTCAAAGGTATTTAGGCAGCTGACTCCCAAAAATCAATGGGAGTCAAGCACCTAAATATCTCTGAGGATTTGGGTCTGAGGGGGGATGGATGGTGTGTGTCTGTAGGGATTTCTCTGTGAGAAGATGTATGTAGGCTTTACACTGCATTTCCTTAGTTTTATGAGCTTGAGTTTTGCATTTGAGTCCCTTATCAGCCTCAACTGGCTTTCACAAAGCATGTTTTATGACAGAATATATTATTTTTCCTTCACCAGCAAACTTCGACATCAGGCACAGAGTGAAAGATTTGGATACAAGGAGGTAAAGTGTGGCTAATTTCTAAATATTTCTGTATGGTTTCACGGCAGACCTGTGATATTTACAAGCACATAGATTAGTGCCAGTGTGGGGAGGGAGTTGTGAGCCATTCACTTTTCTATGAGGAACTGGACTGACACCCGAAAAAGCCATTGATGGAACTAACTTGAGGTCACTGCTGACCCAGAGCTGGATTTGAACAGATAGCTCGACCTTGGTTTCTAGAGGCAGGGTCTCAATGCCGCTCTGTTCACAAAAGGGTGAAATTCACCCCTGAGCAGGAGACCAGTGCAAGGCCTGTGAGCTTACCTCCCAGGCCTTCAGAGTGGAGACACAAGTGGTGCATAGGACCTGAGAACCTACAGAGAACAGTGCTAAGGCATGGCTGCGTATTGGGTTTGCAGGGGGAATGCCCAGGGTGGTTTAGTGCTGGGCTGTGAGCCAAAGCAAAGCCAGTGCTGGGGAAAAGCCAGTCAGGATTACAATGGGAATCATATACAACAAGGGAATAGGCCCCGGGCAGTCAGCTGTTGTCCTCTGGAGGGGAAAGACCAACCACTGCAGAGGCTCTTTGTCCAAGGTCAAATGTCCCAAAGGATTTTATTTGTGGGGAGGAGAGGGAAGGACGGTCACTGCTGGCTGGAGTCAGGAATGGTGTGGTCACGTACAGGGCAGGCCTCTCCATAGAGCTCTGCCAATGCCCCTCAATCCTGATTTGCAGCTCCCTGACATTCCAGCTCTGGGAGCTCTAGTGCTCCTAAGTCCTTGCCTCGCTGTTCCATGCCAGGGCTCCCCACACACCGCTCGGTTGATGCACTTCAGTCCTGACCTGCAGCTTGCCTTGCTATCCCAGTGCTGGGGTTATCCTGAGTCGAAGCTCAGACTGGCGGAATTGTGTACCAGTTATTAGTTAGCACTGCTACTGCTTGTGCGCTGCCTGCTGTCTGGATAAACAGAGGCCTTCTGTCTCCAGCACTGTCAGGCTGACAACTTTCACAAGCACAACATTTGCTTAGTTAAAAATAACCACCCCAGTCATTTTGATAACTGCTTCTGATCCTCATCTGCTTGCTTCTTTTCCCTTTTCTCCTGCAGGTGGTCTTGAAAGGTGATGCCAGGAAGTTAAATTTGCATGGGGTAAGGACAGCCTCCACTCTGATTTTTATCCTGAATTTTGAGAACAGGCCTCATGGGATTGCTGCCCCCCTCTGAGCCCCTTTTCTTTCTGCTTTTGTTACCTGAAGGATAAGGGATAGGTCCAGCAGGACCTGAACCCTTATGCTACTTTCGCTGCCTGGGAGCAGATGCCTTTTAACGAAACTCGTATCTTGTAATAAGATGGGGTTTTGAGGTCAGATGAACATTCACAGGCCCAGAGAGCTCAGCTTACCTGCCTGGGACTACCACTGACTCACTGTGTGACCCTGCATAAGGCCTGTGGCACGATGAGGATGCTTTTTGAGAGTAACTTGGGTGGCTCTGGGAAACAGAGATGCTAGGTAGGCCCCTACCTGTGCAGATGCAGCCTGTATCAGTGAGCAACTCCCCTTCCGAGGGCTGTTTATTGGCTGTGTGAAATGAGCTGCCGAGGGAGCAAAAGACAAGCGGTGCTGGTGACAGAGTGAGGCTGGTTCCGTCTGGGATCTCTGGTGCCTGTGGGTGTGATGCTTTGTTCTGCAGGCTCATTCCTCCCCTCCTCTCTGTCTCTCCACAGCAGACCTGTGCCGTCTGCCTGGAAGACTTTAAAGTGAAAGATGAGCTGGGAGTGTTGCCATGCCAACATGCCTTCCACAGAAAGTGAGTAGCTGCCAAGGACAGCCCAGAGCCTGCTCCGTGCCCCCAACTTGGCACGAGGCCCAGTGTTCAGTTATGCCTCTCATGCCCTTGATTGGAGAGAGGCCCAGCCTATGCCTCATACAGCTCCTGGGTGGTAAGAGGCCCCATGTCTGGTCCTTTCCCCTCTCAGGATGGCAAAGATGCCCAGAGCAGCTCTAAGCAAGCTGGATAATAATGTGCACAAGTCACCTGGCTACACCCCTTTGCCTTCTAGCCATATGCTAAGCCAGCTGGGGAGCCAGGACAGGCTTCCTCCCATCAATAAGCCTCAGCCTGCCTTTGCTTTGGGGATTCACATCTTGGCTGGGTGTAAACTGGCCAGGAATAAATTTAGTCTGGACATGAGAAGATGGTTTCTAGCCACCAGAGGAGCCTCCCACTAGGAGCAGTGGGGATAAACAGTGGTGGGCTTATTTTAAGATGCTGGTAAATTTGGGTGGGATTACATGATGGGGTTTCCTGCGATAGCAAAGGACTGGACTTGGAAGACGTGGGAGGTCCCTTACAGGCCTTAGAACTGAGTTCCTAAATCAGCACTTGCAGCTGGCCCCCTTGATTTCTGCAGCCCCCTCCACTGCATGAGTGGGAGCAGGGAATCCAGACTCCAGGAAGGGACAGATTCCCCGTTGGAACACAGAGTCACTGCTTCCCCCTCTCCATGCAAAGGCTGTGTTCAGAGAGAAGCACTGACTAGGGAAGGGTGAGGTGGGAGATCTGCTTGGGACTTGAGCATCAGGGAGGGACAGAGGTAAAGTTCTCTCCTACCTCTGGAGCCTTCTCACGCTCACCTGCTTTGGGATCCCTGGATGAGGGGGCAGGGCACCAGAGTAACATACAGCAGCATGTTGATAAGCAAGGGAGAGAATGGGAGGCGTGTAGACACCTGGGCATAGAGAGGAGAAATGACTCTCTTCCCATCTGGGTTAGTGCGTGCCAGGTGCGGGAGCCTGCTGGGTTGTGTGGGCCCATGACATCATACTTGGGAGGGCAGGAGTGAGGAGGGTAGTGGGCTCAGGGAGCTGGGGAAGGACACGTCTGTCCTAAATTCACCCCCTCCATCTCTCTGTTTCTTGGCTGCAGGTGTCTAGTGAAATGGTTGGAGGTTCGCTGCGTCTGTCCCATGTGCAACAAGCCCATCACAGGCCCCACGGAGCCCCACCAAGGCATTGGGACACTCCTGGATGAGCTGGTGTGAGGACCTCTTTTCTCCCCCATGAAGCCAAACAGCCATCCAGACGGACCATTTCCTGGTGATCTCTGCACTTAACCCCTCCACCCATCTCCCCTGGGGATTGCTAAGCCAGCAGCCTGTGATACCGCCTGCCATGGGCATATGGCCCCCTCGTAAAACCTGGGACAGATCCACTGCCATGAGTGCAGGAGGAAAACAAGCTGCGTCCCCCGTGAAGCACACAGAGGAGGAGGGGTTGGCCCAACTCTGGGGTCATTGGGACCTGAGTGTCAAACTGCTGATGCATGAAGGGCCTGGGAGACTTAATTGTGCCCCTTCCTAGCTGATCTTGCAGGGACGTCTGATTTCTTGGCACCAGGCTTCTGAAACTGGATATTCCTCACAGAGACCACCCAGTTCAGGGTGGGAAACAAGGCAGGAGCCTCCCCCCCAACCCCCTGGGGACTGTAGTTCAAATCCGCCTACCACTACTGTTCTTAATAGGTTTACTATAACCCTCTTTCAAAACCAGAACTTACGTTTAGGGCCTTAACTCTTCCATAGGTCCCTTGTAAAGGCCAAAGCTTTAGCTCTGCTACAGCCAGCCAGGAATTGACCCCTGACTGCTGGAACCACAGCGCTGATTCTTATCTATGGGCCATTGATGGGATCTCTTTGTCTTAAAAAATAATAGTCAGTGTTTACATAGGGCCTGAACAAAAACAGAAGCTGCAGAGGGCATGTCATGACTGATTAGATCCTGTTGGCAGAACTGGACTGTTGCAAGAGTGGGAAGGGTGTTTAGGGAACCACAGCGGGGGGGGGGGGGTCAGGGGAATGCCCCATGTTGGACATTAATATTCCTTTCTTGTATCAGGTTAGCAAGACCTTTTAGCAGCTGGTGGAGATGGTTTGGAGATGTTTCAAATACAAATACAAAGCAAGTTTTTCTTTTGAATTATTTTTAATTTAAACTTGGAGGCTGTTTTTTTTTTATTTTGTTTTTAAAGTCACCTCTCAGAAATTTCCTTCCAGCTCAGAGACTGCAAATTAGTAAAACCACTCAGAGATATTCTGTTTTGTACCTTGAAAATGAACTGTCACTGTTTGCATAAGGCAGAAAGTTTGGGGAGAGGGAGGGGCTGATGGGTGGAAAATCCAGTCTGGATTCCCCCACCTCCTCCCCACTATGTTGCACTGTAAATAATATTTTTGTATGTATTACTTTCCTGACTGTCTCAGGCTTCCTACACACCCCTGAGGATGGGGGATGTACAGTTTTATGTAAAACTGTAATTAAACTGAAGGCATCTCAGTCTAAATTGTGAATGTTTGTTTCTAGCAAGGGGTGTCTAGCAGTACATTCTCAAAGCACAAAGAAATGTATTTTCTTAGGACACACACAAAGATGTGTGACTGGGGGGTTTCTCCAAAAACATTCACATTGGAACTGGAACTAAGCCTAGGAATATTTCAGAGTTTTGAGGGAATGAAATTAAGAAGTTGGAATGGAGCAGAGAGAGTGATCAGCACAAGAAACCGGGAATCAGGGTTCATGGGTTCTGTTTCTAGCTCTGCCTCTGACTACTTGATCTTGGGCAATCCACCTTTCTGTGTCGGTTTCTTCTTCTGTAAACTGGCAATGATACTTATCTCACAGGGGCACTTGAAGTACAATTTGTTAATTGCATTGAGTTTGCAGATGGGAAGTGCTTTAGCAAAGCCAAATATCCTCCTCCTGTATTTTATTGGTTTTGATGGTTGTAGCAACAGGGGTAAGTAAGAATAAGGCAGACTGCTGTAGGGCTCTTGCTGTATTTACCACTGTGTCATACAGACCTGCTCTAAGCAGCATTAAATGACAGTGATAAACACACCCGCAGCCAGTTGTTTTCAGCAGCAGCCCCACACTAGTGAGCAACTGGTGGGGCTGCATCATGGCTGGTGGCACCGAACATGGTTAGCATAGTAGTTCGGATGTTGAAAATAAGTTAACATCTAGAGCTGGTCAGGAACTTTTTCACAAGGTTTTCACAAAAAAAACCCCGATTTGTCAAAACAAAAATGGTTGGCAAAACGGTTGGGTTTGAAAAGGGAACTGAATCAAAAAAATTGTGTTTTTTTTTTTTAAATTGAGATTAACAAAGTCTAAACTGGGAGATTTAGACAAACTGAAATTTTCATTTTGAGTCAATTACTTTCCATTTCGAAATTTTACTAAATTTACAATAAAAAAAGTCAAAAGTTGAACTTAAATCAGTCAATTTGGAAATATTTCAATTGACCAGATCTAAAAAAGATTTTGGGTTTTGTTTGCAGAAATCTGAGATTGACTTTTTGTCCCAATTCAGCATACGAAAATTTATCAAAATATTAGATTCTCATGGAACAGGAAAATGGTTTCCTGCCCAGCCCTATTAATATCTACGTCACAGGTGAAACTCACTGCTGCACGATATTTAATAACTTAGGATGATCTAGACATCAATTGGACATTTATATGAATAAAAGCTCATTGGATATGATAGAGGTCTATAAAATCATGACTGGTGTGGAGAAAGTAAATAAGGAGGAGATGTTATTTATTCCTTTTCATAACACAAGAACTAGGGGTCACCAAATGAAAAATTAAAAGGTAGTGGGTTTAAAACAAACAAAAGGAAGTCTTTCTTCACACAACATATAGTCAACCTGTGGAACTCTTTGCCAGAGGATGTTGTGAAGGCCAAGACTATAACAAGGTTCAAAAAAGAACTACATAAGTTCATGGAGGATAGGTCCATCAATGGCTATTAGCCAGGATGGGCAGGGATGGTGTCCCTCGCCTCTGTTTGCCAGAAGCTGGGAATGGGTAACAGGGGATGGATCACTTGATGATTACCTGTTCTGTTCATTCCCTCTGGGGCACCTGGCATTGGCCACTGTCAGAAGACAGGATACTGGGCTAGATGGACCTTTGGTCTGGTTGCTCTTATGTTCTTAAGCTGCAGTGACAGTGGGAGGGACAAAAATGCATGGGTTATTAATCCTCATTCTTCAGACCACAAGGTGAAAAACTGTTTTCTTCCTGATCCTTAGTGGTAAAGCACAACTACTTATTTCCAGCCCCACCAAAGGATGTTTAAGTCTTGCAATTCATGAGCTTGCATATGTCATCTGCTCATGACACACATACACAAATATAGCCACAGCATGAGAAGAATGGAAGTCTACAGGGACATCTCACCTGCCATCCAGAGAGACACAATATCGTATTATTTCTCAGGTAGAACTGTTTCCCTGAGCCATGCAATTAAAGCCTGACACATGCTTCTTTAGTTTTGAGTCCCTAAGTGTTTCTTGGGCCCTTTCTCTCAGGCTAGTAAAAGCAGAGTTTAGTGGCTGATGGATAAATTGCAGAGACATAACATCTGTGCCTCTATCCCAGCTCTTCCAGTAGCAGCTCTGTATTCCATCTTTGTTCTCTGGGAGCCTGTGTGACAGGAGAGAACAAGGGAGTCATGGGGCAGAGATCATTTAGTCCTTGATGTACAAAGCATTCCAAATACAACTCTGTAAATTTACTCTGTTGCAAGATATCTGGCAATTTTAAGAACATTCGCTTCATACATTCCCTACTGCCATCTGTCGGTTGCAACAGGAAAAGTCACTCAACATCAGACACATGGAAGGAAGTCCGGTCAGCTCAGCAACTAGGCCACTTCCTTGGGATTTCTCAGTTGCCTAGCACAGTCCCAAAAACCTATCCAGTAATTAGATACTATAGTATTCCTCCTTACATCATCCATCGATATCAAAGCATCTCTATTGAGGAAATTAAGTATTGTTATCGCCACTTTACATAGGGGAAAACTTGGCTACAGAGAGGGAAAGTGACTTGCCCAGTCACAAGGAAAGAGCCAGCTGTGAGAGCCAGCAATAGAAGCTACCAATCCAGAATCAGGGTAAAAATTTCGAAGTGCCTAAATCCCAATTTGCTAAAATAAGTCACCTTTGAAAGTGAAATTTAGGCACTTTGAAATTTTACACTTGGTCTGGTAGAGTGCAGGCAGAATTCCTGAGTTCTATTCCCAACTCTGCAGCTGGCTTTTGAGACTTCGGCCAGGTCACGTCTCCTGTCTGTAACAGTTTCCTAATTAGCAAAGAAGAGTACATAGCCACCTACGTAAAGTTTTGAAGTGAATAAGCAGAGACTGTATTAATATATTATTTTCTGCTCTCATTTCAGAGGAAACAAGGGGGAATTCTGTAAATTAGATAAAAAGATGAAGAGTGTCCAGATAAAATAGGACTTCTTACCGCAAGGCATAACAAGAGTTATTGTCAGCCCTGGCCATAAAAATCACTTCTGCAAATCCAGGTCATGATTTTTAAAAAAGACTAGTCATTTTCTACCCAAATTTAGGCATCCTAAATACACTTGATTTCCCCCAAAGTGATAAGCACCCACCTTCTGAAAATCAGCCCCTTTAAAGCATGTCAAGCTAGGTACCCAAAATTAGGAATCACACTTGAAAATATTGTCCAAAGAGCACGATATACATACAAAGAGCATTACCAGCTAAGAGTATTTCTAGAACACCCAGTAGCACCCTGGCCGTATTCAGAGAAACAAAATCATATCAAAACCTTGCCTTTATGTATTTTCCAAACTCAGCTGTATTCAGGGGGATCGATTTGCAGTCTGCAATCATCCCTAAAAAGAAACAACCAAAACGCAACAAATACGTGCACATAACCCCACCCCCTATAACTCACAATGTAGTGTCTTTACACCTCCTGAAACAACCCCCATTACCCCGTAATGCTCGCGTCCCCCAGGTTCCGGTCAGATGGGTACTGTGCCCCGTCGTAACAAAGAAGGACGGCACATCTCACACAGCCGTGTGCAAACCCCATTCATCACGCGTCAGAACCTGAAGGATCAACGCGCTGCAGCCGCGCTCGGGGGGGCCATGCCACGCCACTGGCATAATGGTCAGGGCGAGCAGAGCGCGCCCGGCCCCAGCCCAAGCTGCCCCTGGATTCCCCTCCGCCCCCAACGAGAGGCGCTTTGCAGCCACGCCCCGCTCCAGCTGGCCCTTATTTCCCATCCGGGCCCCCGTGGAGGGGCAGGATCGGAGCCGGAGCCGCCATCTCATTACGCATGCTAATATATGCATATCCAGACCCCGCCTCCCCTCTACTCCGGCGAGCGCGGCTCGCTCTCCGCCTTTACGGCAGTGCGGTGCCCACGTGGAAGGGAGGAGGGGGTTTGCGACAGCGCTGGGAAAGACAGGGAGCGCGGCGTGGTTTCCGGCAGTTGGGGGAAGGGGGTTTCCTGGGGAGCGCGCCCCCCCCGGGCTGGAGGGGTCGGGGAGTCTGGGCGCTTTGCACCCCGGCGGGAGCTGGGTCTTCCACTCACACCCCTGGGGGGCTGCACTAGGAGAGGGGACCCCTTGCCCTGAAGAAGGGGGGCATCTGGTACCCCCACCCTGCTGAAGGGAGATTGCACCTCCCCCTTCTCAGGAGGAGAGTCAGTGCCCGCGGGGGGGTTCTAGCTCCCCCCACCCAAAAGACGGGAGCCAGGACTGGTGATTATCTCCCCCCCCCCCGTAGCTTTTCTATACCCAGGGGCAGGGCTGGGCACGAGGGCCCAGAGGGGCATTGGGGGTGGGGGAGTCTCTCTCCCCACCCCCTCGCTGTTAAAGACATTTCCTGGGGGGTGCCAGGCTGACCTGGGCGAGTGGGGGTGCAGGGTTAGGGTCAGTGTAGGAGAGGGGGAGGGGGTGGGGTCAGGGCTTAAGGGTGGGGGTTACAGTTGGGAGC